TCATGGAAAACGATGGATGAAAAGGGTGTTAATACCTTCCCTTTTCATATTCTACCCCCGAACTCAAGAAATAATCTCAAAGGTCTTTCCTGTGCTTTTTCACATTTCATTTTGGATAAAAGAAAAGTCGGTGGCGACTCTTGCTAACTGCAACATTTGTGATTAAACGCAAAACACTCAAGTCAGTTCTCCCACCGTATCACATATAGTCTTTTTGATGGGATTTAAACACAATACTGGTGATTCTTCAAATAACAATTCTGAATCACTTTGAATGTTTTATCTGCACACTTAAAGAACTATTAGATACCAAAGTTGTTACATATAAAATATATGTATTATTATCAATAAAACTCAAAGATTACATGCGGAACCAAATCATGTTCTACCAAATAAAACACAATATATCATTAATATACATTGAACATATACACCAACATATTTCCCCATGACTTTGTTTGAACATTGACTATTTCATGGACAGTAGCAATTATATATGAAACATAAGTAAGCAATTTTAAATATAAAATAATTTATGAAAAATGTAAAAATAAATAGATTGATAAAATTAGTAATTGTCTTTATATTCTATAGTTGGCTTGAAGGATCAAACAATTTTTTTTAAAGTATTGCTTAGGAGTATACTATCAACAACAATCCCTTAGACAATTGTACCACATAGAAATACAAATTTCTTAGAGTGATCACATAGCTTCCAGTAGAAATCATTAACATAGACAATCCAGTATTAATGAAGCACGTCATATTTTACTTAATCTTTTCTTTCCACTTAGGTGAGTGATTGTAGCATATCAAAACCTGAATTATATCACCCTAAATCAAATCAAAAAATTGTAACATAAGATTCAAAATTACATTTCTCTACTTTTCATATAATCATCATATGTTGGTTGAATTTAGTATAAAAAAAAATCATATGTTGATCGAATATTGAGTAAACTTATAAAACTTAAATGATTAGGAAAGAAAAAATCATATATTAATAAAGCACCTTAAACATCTTCAAGATACTATCGAGGAACAAAAAATATTCTAAAGTATTTTTTAAGGATGAAGAATGGCTTGGTCCTGAAGTACCATATCTCAGTGCGTTTGGAGCACTGATGTACCTTGTTAATTATACACGTTCTAACATATCATTTGCCATGAATCTATTAGCAAGATACAATTCTTCACCTACACGAAGACATTGAAACGGAGTCAAACATATATTTTGTTATCTTAGAGGTACAATAAACATGAGTCTGTTTTATACCAAAGTATCTAAACTCGAATTAAAAGGTTATGTAGATGCAGCTTACTTGTCTGATCCTCGCAATGGTATATCACAAACAGGTTATTTGTTCACATGTGGTGGTAGAACTATTTCATGAAGATCATTGAAACAAACAATAACAACGACTTCATCTAATCATGCATAACTTTTAGCACTACATGAGGCAAGTCGAGAATGCGTTTGATTGAGATCCTTAGTCCATTAGATACAAAATACTTGTGGTTTGTCTCCAAAGTTCTTTTTCACTTATGATATAAACATCCAACAAATTCGTTCATGTGATAATCTTGCGGACCTTTTCACAAAGTCACTCCCAAGTAGAAGTTTTAATCAACTAGTACAAAATATGAATTTATTTTAAAAGGATAGTGTAATATCATAAACAAACACCCGAGGAAAGTGCTATGAATAATTTGATGATTATTTTTCAATTATTTTATTTATTATTTATAACAATTTGTATTTATTACAATGTCCAGATATTGTCATATAAATAGGATCAATCTCTTTACAAAAATACACTGATAAAATAATACAAAATCATTTTATATTTCTTTCTTCTTTTTATTCTTTATTTGTCTTTATTTTATAACATATTAATTATTAATTGGTGTTGTAAAATTACTTATATTATAACACACAATTTTTTTTCAAAACAATTTATAATAAAAAACAGAAAGAGTAGAAAACATTAAAATAGCTGTCTAATTATATTAGTGAAGAGTCCAGCTGTAAAAATAATAGTGATCGATTTTCTTATATTAAAAGTAAATAGTATTGATACTCGTTCTAGGTGGTTGTATAGTTATTGTTTCTATTTAAGGCGTGCATTAATGTAACTCAACTTTTTTGGAATATTATTGACACGTTAAAAAATCTCATAAATTGTCATAAAAAAATGACCCCTCTCTTTGTTAATCCTCAAATCTTCACAAGAAAAGATTTGAGAAACCCAAAAATGTATCTCTCTAGAATATACGACTAATTTTTGAATATGGGAAATACGACTTATTGTTTAATATGGGAAATAGAATAATTTTACTTATAAATAAGGATATAGAAAGCAATTGGATAAATATAATTTTTTCATATCTTTTAATAAGTTGGTTATAAATTAAATAAAGTGGTTTTATATTTAAATTTACAAAAAAATAATTTTGATAAAAAGCTCTGCTAAAATAATAAGAATTTCCAAACTCATTTATTTTAAACTAAAAAAGTTACCTATCTAAAAATCTAAATATCCATTATTAAGTATTTTATCATTATAAAAATTACTTAATATTTTTAAAAATTAAATAATTTTAAAATTATTATATAAAAAATATTAAAAATGGTTTCTAATATCCAATAAAAAGCTAATTATTTGTTATTTTTGATTATTTTATATAGATTAAAATTATTAAATGAAAGAAAAATGAATGAAGACTCTGTTCTATCAATCATATTAGTCTGTTAGTGTATTTTCCTTATTAAAATAAAAAATAAAGATTCTAATATCTGTAAAATTGATTAGAGGGTATAATTAAAATTATATTGAAAATTAAAATCGAAATGTTTAAGAAATTTTTTGTACGCAATTAACTATTTATTATTTTGAGATTTTTCTTGTACACAATTAACATGTTTAAGAAATCTTCTTGTACTCAATTAACTATCAATTTTAAAAAGAAATACTACCTCCATCTCTCAAAAGCCGTTGTTACGTACATATTAAGAATAGTAATAATTAAATCAATAATTATAATATTTTTATAAAATTATTTTTAATTATTATTAGTTGTTATATATTATTATAACTTGAAAAGAATGTAGACAAGTGGTAAAATTGATAAAAATTAATTAATATTACATTTAAAAAGTAAAAAAAAAAAACAATTTTTGTGTCTCAAAATAAGTATCTTTCTAACCAAAAAAATTTGTCTCAAAATAATAATTTTTTTACTTTTTCAATAAAATATTAATTAAATTTTACCAAATTTACTCTTAATAATTATTACCTACACTATTTTCAAGTTATGACAATATATAACAATCAATAGTAATTAAATTAATTTTATAAAAATATTATTTTTATTTACTCAATCATTATTTTTATTAATCTATATATAATAAATTTAAACGATTTTTATTTTGAGACGGAAGAAATATCATTTTGAATCAACTTTTTACAGTTAAAAAGACACTTATTTTAAAATAGAAGAAACAACCGACAACAATGAAAATTTCTTCTCTCAATTTTTGTCTTCTTTTATTTCAATTGAACATCAACTATCAATATGGTCAGTGTATAATTCTTTTTCTCAAATTTATTTGGTAAATATTGAAACTAATTTAAGTCTTCAAATGTGTAAATTTTAACTTTATAAATGATTATTCGAAAATATGTCTTATATAACAACAATGTTATGTTTATATTCATTTCTATACTAAATTTTATATTATATATATTATTTATCGTATTTATACAGTGAACATTATTTTTTAAATAAAAAAAATATAAATAATGTTATAAACAGTATATGAACAATAACGTGAATAATACATAAATAGTATCTGTAAATAATATATAAATAGTAACTTTTAGTAGTAAACTAAAATTGGTTAATTAAATATAAAAAAATGATTAATAAAATGATAAAGTTGATTAATAAACATTTAAATATTAAAAATAATTTTTAATAAAAAACAAAATTGGTTATTACAATCTAAAATATTGATTAATAAAATTATAAAGTCGATTAATAAACATTCTAATTTTTAATACTTATGAAATTTGTTAATAACATAATTTTGTATATGTATTTCTTTAATCTAAAAGAAATTATTTTTTTTATAAACAAAACATTTTATTATAATAATATTTAACTAATTATTGTATTGATGAACAATAAAATATGATATAAATATAGATATAGTATAAATTTTTTTTTATATAATCAATATTTTAAACAAACAAAAAAGAGAGAGCGCGTGCAGCATTTAGATATAAGAATATATAACATATTAATGAGATGATAAATTAGATATATATTTGAGTAATTTTATATATATATATATATATATATATATATATATATATATATATATATATATATATATATATATATATATATATATATATATATATATATATATATATATATATATATATATATATTTTTTTTTTTTAAGCACGCGATTTTTATTTTATATATACATATAATTAAATTATATCACTTAAATATTTATATATTTTATGAATTAATTTTAAAAAGTAGTATTGAGATATCATCTGCTAAGATGCATATATTAAAAAACTTACAATTTTAATATACTTAAGTTATAATATTTGTTGTTATAGCTTAATAATTTTATCAATAATTTAATCCTACAAATATTTTTTATTAAATTCAAAATTTAAAACTGAGTCGCCTCATTTCCTTTTCCTCAAATATTTATATAAGTATACGATTTATCACTAGACCAATAAAAAATAATATATTTTTATTAATTCACAAATTTAAGCATGTATAATGTACCAAACAAATTAAAAGGGCATCAAAGCTGTAATATTTGTTTGTATTTAATAAATTTGAGTTGGTGGGGTAGTTAGAATCATTTACTTGGAGAGTTTTGAGACAGCTAGATTATATATCACATAGCATAAGCTAGCAACTCCTATACAATTTTTTCCATTGTTTCTACTATCTCACAACACAGGATGGAGATAGTTGGTTTCATTCCCAAGTGTGGAAACATGAGGTACACAAGGAGAAGTGCATATCATAAGCTCAAGAGCAACAATGAGGTGAGTAATTGTACTAATAATAATGTTTCTATGTTAGGATCAAGAAAATTAAAAATTACAGAAAAAATGTCAGAAGTTCAACCAAAGATCTTCAGGTTATCAACAAATCTATGGAAAAAGTTAAGAGATGGTTATGTGCATGGTATGCTATGTATGGCTGCACATGTTGCTCACTTCAACAATGGTGAAATTTATTTTTTCAAGAAGGTCCATTATAATGATGCTGATGATGTTCTTTATTTGAAATCCTCATGAAATTTTTGGGTTAGAAATTTTTGAAAGAGAGTACTATATGTGTATTAATATAGTGATGAGAATTTGAGCTTTATATCAGAATGAATGAAGTATAGTTGTCAAGGGGATTTGGATCTGTGTAGTTAGAAAGCCAGTGATATTGGTGGCCATTAAATTAAGGTGGAATGATTTATATTTCAATGCAGATTTTGAAAAGTTTCAATCTAGATATGACTGACAATGTGATTTCACATTTTTTATGAGTGATGATGAATTTAATTTGATTTGATGTAGTTAGATATGTTTGCTTCAATTTTATCTTCTTCTATATGTGTGATATTTTGTGAGTCGTGATTTTAATTTATTTAAAATATTGTATTTTTATTATTTTTATGCTAATACTTCTTTGTTATAAGTATTTTATTTTTATGTAATTTTAGATATTTATATAATACAATTTTGTTTTTTACAAGTATTTTAATGATCTATTTTATTACATAATTAGACTTGATAAAAGAATAGCGCTATCAAGTTAAACTACTTCTTAAGAACAATAATGCTTGAAACATTTTTTTAAAATAAAAAATATGACACATGATTCATAATAATATAAGAAAAAGAGAAAAAAAAGAATAATTCGCTATTCAACTCAATCAAATCTTTAAATTTGTGATTTTATTCGACGAGATCCAATAATATTATGAATGATTATTTTAAATCATCTAAGTCAGTATATCGTATAAGATTTAAATTTAGATTTTATTAAAATTCAACTTAAATTGATTCATGTACACCCCTGGTTTTAACAAACCACTCTATCAAAATTTATAAAATATTAATGCAATCGTTTTATATGAAGTGGGTGAGTCAAGTTCAAGTGATACTTCTATTTGGATCATTATTATGGAGTCTTTCAAATTTCTATTCATTTTAGTGATTAATAGAAGACATATTTATAGTGCTAGTTGTGATAATTGTTTAGCCAATTTAGTTAGAGATATTAAAAGGTGTGAAAATTTAATAATTTTTTAAATAGGGAAAATCGTTATCTTATGGCAAAAAGGGTATCATCTTTGAACATTTAGTGTTTGAACAAGATATAGAGGTAGATAAGGAAAATTAGAGTGAATAAAGAAAATGCATCATTCTTCAACTTTGGAAGAAGTGAGAAGTTATCGATTTATAAAATATTTCTTTAAGGTATCGTAGTACATGATTAGTCTTATGTTCAAGGACATATCTTTTATTTTCGACGTTGTCTGAATGTTAGAAAAACACAAAAATGAGAGGGGGTTGAATTGTGAAAGATTTTCTAAAGTTTTTTTTTTTTGTAATATCCTCTTAAATAGGATTACGTCTAGTCCCCTTACATTTAGATATTTTCACTATAATCAAATCTGATTACAGACAACTACTAAGATTAACAAGTCTTAATTTCCTTGCCTCAAACTAGAGGACTTCTTTGCCTCAAACTAGACTACTTCCTTACCTTAAATATTTAAGGACCTCATTGTATTATACTATAAGACTTTTTTATCTCAATGGAGGACTTAATAAATTACAAAGATGTTTGTTTACAACAACTCAAACGTAGTGGTAACACTATTATAAATAAGTGATATTATCTCGGTTAGTAAAGTGATTTCACATCGGTTTCGTAGATGTGGTACAAAAGTGTGTCATGGAAAGATCATTTATCCTCGATTATTTTCTAATCAAGGGGTAATCTTGGAAAGGACATGGGTTCAATCCCTAAAAACAACACTTTTTCTTCTAAAGTGCTCCCCATATTTCCCATGGAATAAATTAAGACTTTTTACCTTCATTTTTATTTACAACCGGAGGTTCCTTGTTTATTTTTTCCTTTCCACGTTTTTTGCATTCCCGCATTCTTTTACAAGAGAAGATTTATTTCTTCTAATTCAAGAAATTGACACTCTTCATTCTCATATTAAGCACTTAATCTATTGGATTTCATCCAACTATGATCCATAATTACATATTTTCTCAAGAAAAAAAAAATCAAAATTCTACGTAAATTTTAAACAAATAACAACAAAAACAATGAACATTCGATCTCAACAAAACAACAATAACATAAAACCTTCAATCTCAACAAAATAACTACAACTTCAACAACAACAAATACATCAACAACAATAACACCAAAAACAATAACAATAACAACAACAACAAGATTAACACCTCAGTCTCAAAACAACATTAACATTAAAAACCTTAAATATCTCAACAACAATAACAACAACAGTGGTGGAGATAGTGTCTGCGCACCGGAAACGCGACGAGAGAGTAAAAGAAATGAGTTAGTTTGAGTTTTGAGTTTCCTTCCTTTTTGTTACTATGTCCGTCTTGGAAGATGGAGAAGATGGGGAAAGTACTCTGTTCTTTAGGGCTCAAAAATTTTAGAAAAAAATTAAAAGTGAACGAGAGCTAACATGATAATTTCAGAAAATAAGGGCGCCATTAGTTTACCTCTCAGTTGGAACTTAGAACCGAGGGAATAACTATTCATATACTAATAAATAAATAAGATAAAATAGGGCGTCATTTTTAAAGAAATAAAAACATAAAAAATAGTTGATAAGAATCGAAGCGTCTCCCTCAGAGACGTTTCCCCTTAATTTGAAGCCCAGCCGAGGGAATATATAGCTTCTATTCCAGACAAAAAAAAAGATGAACGGTAAGAAATATCATATACAACTCTTACCATTGAACCTTTTATTTTTGAGATGAAATATCTTCTAAGAATGATTAGAAATGAGTTTTCAACATTGTCTACTGAGACAAGCAATAAATCGTTGAATGTTTGTCTGAATGACATTATCAAAAAATTATTCCTAAAAAATCAACAACAATAACAACACCAACAACAACAATAATAATAATGACCACATAAAATTGTGTGAATGCAACTTCCCCATTAGATATTTTGTATGATGTCAAAACTAGGAAAACCTAGCATTTATGTATATTGGACGGTATCTATGTGTCATGTGGCACTCTCTTGCATTAGAGGTGTTAGGAATCATTTAAATCAAGTTTAAATTTGGTCCCAGTCATGAAAAATCAATTTCTACACAAAAAACATGTTTATGTGTCGACTTGAAATTTGTATGTGTCGACACATTAAATAAAAATTTCTACAATTTCTGAAAAACTTCAGTATGTGTCGACACATACGATTTATGCGCCAATACATACGATTTATGTGCTGACACATATGATTTTCACGTCGACACATGTACTTCATTTTTAAAGTCTATAGCTATTGTTTTTCATGTGTCAACACATAATTTTTTCAGGTCGACACACTGTTTTTTTGGTCATTTTTGCATAATTTATTCATTTTGAAACTTCCCTCTGTTGCCTAAAAAGTTCCATACTATAAATATATCATTCATGCATCATTCTAACTTGATGATACTATAAAAATTTCCTGCAATTTCTCTTCACCTTTAGCCTTCAGTCTATGCATACACACTAACAAACCATTGTAACAATCTTTTGTTAGGGTGTCATCTAGACGGGATTTGATAACGTCCAATTAGGTTTTTGTGTAGTCGAGAATATTGGGTTGAGATTTGTAGGGGTCTTCGTCTGGAAAAACCGTGGGTTTATCCTCAAAGATCATTGGTTGATTTCAGGGTTTTTGTGCAAGATGTTCAAGAGAGGATTGCGGCCTAGTGAAAGCCTTTGGAGATAAAGAATGCAAAGGATCATTTGGAGATAAAGAAAAAAAAAGTAATCAGCCCGATAATGACGACTCAAATTGAAATTTTGTGTTGCAATAGGTGTAATTGATGGTGCACGAAAACTTTAGAGATAAAGTATGCAAAGGAGTAGCAAGATAATCAATTAGCTGTTATTGTGTCTTGGTGTTGTTGAAGATCAAAAGAAGATAAGAGTTTGAATCAACATCAAACGATTGTTGTTTGTATGGTTTCTCTTGAACACTTCTCTTGTAATCATACTTTTTACAAAGTAAGAAAATATCCTAATTCCACATTGAAGTTTGGCGCAGACGTATCCACACGCGAGGACGAAAGTGGGGAACTGTGTAAAAAAATCCTTGTGTGGCTCTCTATTATCTTTTTACTCGCTTTTGTTTTCATTGTGTAATTTGTCGAATAGCATTGTTTAATCGATTGACTCGTAAGAATTTTTCTGCAATTGTTTTGTTTAAAAGTGGTGTGTTGATTAGCTTATAATCACTTTGATTATAAGTGGTTTTCATATCAACACAATTCAACAAAAAATTCTAAAAATTAGAACACACACTAAGTGTTTGACAAATTGCAATGTGCTATCTCTTACTCTCATTTACTCTCTTTAGGCAATTTGTTGAATGTGTTTTTTGATCGATCGATTCGTATAAAATTTCTCTTTGATTGTTAAAGTTTAAATTTCTTTATTTTATAATGAATTTGATTGTAAGTTCTTTTTAATATCAACAAAGCTCAAAGAAAATTCTAAAGATTGCGCCCCACATGTTTGATAAATTGTCAAGTTATATTTTTAATATAATTTCTTTAGAAATAGGAAAAGATTGTGTTTGATATTAAACTATTAATTGAGATATTATTATGTTGATTGATTTTATCATTATCTTAATTCTATATGGCTTGTGCTTATCTTAGTTTCCAATAACTAGATTCGTTTAGACTACTATTTTGACCTACGCTAAAAACCTTTCGTTCAACATTGTTTTTCAAATTAGTTTTTAAATAAAAAATTTTAAAAGATGATTTTTAATTAGGGATCTATTACCTCCCCTCTAGATAAGTCGTCGTAGTCTAACAAATAGAGTTTGGTTTAAAGGAGGAATATAAAGTTCGGAGCAGAAAGATAAGTTTAGGGCAAGAGTGAGAATGTGGTGCTTTATATATATAAATATACGTTAACCTTTTCTCTCGATTTTTTAAAAGAAACGAGGGGAAAATTATTTATTTTTATATTAAAATAAAAAATGAATGTGTTATTATAAATATAAATAAAATAAG